TCATCATTCCATTCTTTCCCATCTAGTCTCAAAAAAATTATTTATTCCGAAACTTAATCAAAATTTTTATTGATGATGTTTAAATAAAAAAAAATCACAAAGTTCTTTTAACAAAGTTTTTACGTATTTTTCTTGATGGAAACATCACATGGAAAACGCATATTGAACATTGGTACAATTACTTCTAAAAATATTGGAACTTTTTTACAGTCGCAACATATTTATGTAAAAAAAAAGACTCACATAACTTTATTACTCATTTGCTCATAGTTATTTAAGTTATTATTTCCATATAAAAAAGCTAATTATTAATCTACAAACTGGAGAAATAATGTAGAAAAACTTGTGTTGGTGAAACAAAACTCAAAATTTCAACACACATTGGCCAACATCAAAAATATACTTTTGAAAAGTGTAAAAATTTGATCGCGGCAAACATTTAAAATATTGCCATTGTGCCTATATATATGTTTCTATGGCTAAAATGAAAATAACACAATTAAAGTGGAAGAAGATTATTTTAGGAAAAAATTAATATAATATTTTTAATATTTTATGCTTTGTATATATATGTAAAAACAATCTTTCTCCTGCCGAAGAAATAACAACCTTCTATATGAGCCTTTTTGTCAAACAAATTTTAACCAATTTTGCATTGATTATTGTGCACCCCATCTCTGGAACAAAATTGTTTTGCCTAATTTTAATTTTGATCTACCTACTTCTTTGCATCTTTTAAAAGTTAAGCTGAAAAATCTTTTTCACTTCCGTATTATCAAAATTTGACAATAATATTTATATTATGGAAATATTTATTAAACTTTATTATCTATACTACAAAAAGATATATGTATGTATATTTTATTTTTATTTTGTTTTTTTTTATAGTTACTTTATAACCTAATATTTTGTTTTCACTTGTACAAGGTTTTGACGATAAGATCTTACTGATCTTCTGTCAGATACCTAGTTTTTCAAATGTTAGTAGTATTTGCTTACTTTATAATTTTTAAATTACTCTAGTAACTTTATTAATTACTTTATTAATTAGTAATTTAGTAAAGTAGTAATTTAGTAGTAGTAAAAGTAGTTAAAGTAAGTAAGTAACTTTACTAAGTAAGTAACTTTACTAAGTAGTAAAAAGTAAGTAACTTTACTAAGTAAAGTAATTTAGTAAAGTAAAAACTTTATTAATTAGTAAATACTTTAATTACTGTAGTTACTTAACTTATAATTTGTATTAATTTTTAATTACTTTAATTACATTATATTGTAAAAACGAACTAACAAATCTAAACTAAAATATTAAAAAAAAAAAAAATGTAAAGACAATTTAACTTTCGGTTTTTTCACTTAAATGTTTTACAGTTATTATTATTTATATTAATAAAATATATGTTTTTTATGTTGTTTATATTTTATACTTAATCTTATATTATTATTTATATAACTTTTAAAACTGTTTGTTTATAAATTAATTTTTAAATTCTAATTTTATTAGTTTATGTTGAAATTAACAAAAATAAACTATTTTAAAAGTTATATAACAAATTATAACTGAGATTATAATTATAAGAATAATATATTAAAATGATATAATTATGAATACAAAAATAATATAATAAATTAAAAACGAAAGTTTAATTTTCAACATCAAAAACGGGAGATAGAACCTTATAATTCTTACGTCACAAAATGCTATTTCTTATTATGCCAATCTACTTAATACAAATCTACAAATATTACTTAATAATTCATACAAATCCGTACGTAAACTAGGAAATGTGAATACCAGTCTCTTTGATCACTGTTATCAATATCAATCAAAATGGAAATATAGCTCTTGAAATGCAGACATTCATTTAGAAACAAATTCCCGCATTCTAGGGCGTGCAATGTGGTTGCAACAAACTCCATAAATGGAAGATGGACAAGAAATCCAAAACACGAGATAAAAAGAGCATAAACTTTCGCCTTTCAAACTTAATTAAAAGTTGATCCATGATGATTTTAACTTTAGGAACCATCTTTCCTCTATTCCAGTAATGTTTTATGCCTCAATAAACGCACGTCAATTCATCGTGTTGGAATTTTTGGTCTTTTATTTCATTTTTGGTCAGCAGTGTATTCGTCAGTGCCCACCAACATTATTACTTCTTTTTTCTTCTAATCTGGTCACTTGAACAAAAATAGACAGAGAGCTATACAGTTCATTCACCTCAGGTAAGTCGATTTTAACAACTTGAAGCATTTTGTTTACTTTGTTGTACCATTTCATATTAGTGCCCCAGAAAATTATGATGACAGTCGTCAACAGCTGATCCATTTTCCTGAGAAGTCTAACAACTTCTACTGTTGCGTTCGGCTATTGTGTTTTGTCATTGTTCAGCTCTTTTAAGGCTATTTTGAAGTTTGAACGCATGTTTTCAAATGTACAAGTTCTAATTACAACTAAGATTTTAAAATAACTGATAATAACTGATACTTGTACTTTGTAACTGTTAATAACCCGTTTGATGCTCACTAATTGCCTTATGAGAAACTTTACAACTGCAAAATACTTCTTCGTTTGCTAAAGAACTCTTAGTTTTTCTAAATAAGAGGCAAGTTTTATAGCAAACACTACCTCTTTTAGCAGAATATCCAAGCCAATCGCATTCTTTCTTTTCTCCATTTACAATTTCTTGAAATAATAACTCTTTTGAGGTGCGTCGCTAAATTCCAGCATTGTAACGGGTTTAAGACCTTTTTGCTGATTTTTTGTAATGAACTTAATCAGGCCATTATTTTGAAGTATCCATTCGACAGGTTTGGTAAAAAATACATTGACGCTCTGAGCTAAATATTGCGCTATGTACACTAATGGAATCCAAAGCATCCATCGCCTTTTGTGCATCAGATTATCTTTTTTGCAACTTTGGCAAGGACGCAACAACTTTTAAGTTTGCAATTCGTTTTAAATATTTTATTTCTTTCTTTTGCCTTCGGAATTTCTCGAGCAAGAAATTTTTAAGTATTTTTACTTTTACAAAAATTATTTGTATTTCTTTACTTTTAAAAAAAAAAATTAGAAAATATTTTTTTGCCAAGGCCGATGCCGATTGCTTAGGCCAGTTTTTCTTTGCCAAGGCCAATCCCGATGTCGGTCATCGGCCATTGTATCGGCCATTTAGCCGATGCATCGGCATCGGCCTTGATAACCATTGATAACAATCGCCGATGCCGATTGTTTTGAAAACTTTTAAAATTTATTAAATTCTTATTAAATAAAACTTATTAAACTCAAAACTTTTTTACATACAAAAACTCAAAACTTTTTTACAAAAATCATTCAAAATGTACTGTAAATTGATATAGTATTTGTAAAATCAAGATATTGGTAAAATATTGGATTATAATAGTACAATTTAGGATCTGGTTTGCTTAATTGTACCGATACCATATTTTTAAAAATTTAGTTCCTTATCAAATACCAATGTTTTAATTTGGACATATTTCAACTGTTTGAGAACAGTTTATCCCCAAATTATAAAATACAATAAAGTCTCATCGTTTCTACTTTTTATATTTTTGACTTTATTCTTAGCGGGTACAAAATCGGCAACTTTACCCTAAATGCAATGTATAAGCCTAACTTATTAATAATAAGTTTTATATAGGCATATATGCAACCACTAAACTAAAAAATTTTGAACTGCTTTTAACAGGGTTTTTTACTTTTTACGTTTTTTCTAGTTATCTAGATATTATATAGCTATCTAGAAAACAATAAAAAAAAATAAATGGGAAATAAACTATAGCAGTAACAATTTTAAAATACCGCTTTTATTGTCACATGAATGGTGGCATTTCTATTCAAGTGTATATTTCCATCATGTATCCAATATCAGGCAGATACTGATGCATGGGCATCGGTGTACCCCTAATTTTAACGTCACGAGTTGTTTTAAAATAACAAATGAGAAACGCGTTCCTCATTTGTGCGGTAAAAACAAAAAATTCTGAGTCGTTCTTATTTAGGATGCTAATAAAATAAAATAAATTGTTTAAATTTCTATAAGAAAGTATCTTATCAGACTTAGGGTACCATATTTCTTGAAGAAGTGCGTAAAATTTTCCTCAAAAATATTAAATATTTTATAAAACATGTGTTTTTACCTCATGAAGTAAAAGCACAAGCTAAATTTTATATTTAAACCAAAATTCCTAACGACAAAAGAGCTCATTAAAAAAATGTGTCTCATTACGCCTTGAATTACTTTATTCATACATGCAATTGAAAAGTGAAAATGAATTTAAAATTAAATTTGTTTTGGAGTTTTGGTTATGTTTTTCTAAACTTATGTGCAAATTAATTGTCTTGTGATTTTTTAAGATCTAATTTTAATAATTAAATAAAAAAAATTTCCCTAAAAATTTATGCTTATATTAACAAGAAACTCAAAACCATATAAGAGAATTTTTTTGAAACAGCAAAATTTTAACCTTAGACCTCACTTATTTTTGATAACTGTTAATATTCTAACAGATGTAAAAAATGGGTTTATTTTAAAACAATTTTTTTTGGTATAATTTGATCTCAAGTTGTATTGTTGAAAGCATAAAGGCTCAAAATAAAATTTAAACTCTTTTTGCTAAAAATTACTTATGCAATAATAGCAATTATTGACAAAGCTATGATGAAAAATAACACATTTAAAACTTTTAAAAATTGCCAAAACACAATCTTTTGTATCGTGCTATTATTGTTTCGTAAAAAGCTTGTCATACTAATATTGTTATTAATATAATTATTATTGTTATTAAATTCTATTATTTATCTTTAACCTAATATTGTTAACTTTACCTCTTTATTGAACAGTTATCATCTTAGTCAAGTCTAATATCTCTTGTTTGATTATCAATATTTTTTAAACTTGAATATTTTATTTTAATAACTTTATTTATAATCATGTTTTTAATAGTTAAAATATTATTTTATATATTATTACAATTTTAAGAAAAGTAATCATGCAAGGTATACCTGCTGGTTTTGAGGATTATTCAAGTGATGAAGATATTGATGTTGAAGAAATATTTGAAGTTAGTTCGCCAAAAACTATAAATTATACACAAGAAATAAATCAAGATATTTCAACTAAAACTAGGTACTATTGTTTATTTAAATTAATATTTAAGATGTTTCGAAATTTTCTAAGTGTTTTTTGATATATTTTGTACAGCTTGTATGATGTAATCAGTTATGTGAATAAAGTGAGTAGGGTAATTCCATATCAAATGACCCAGAATTTTTAAAAATGTCACCCTACATCTCTGATTTTGCTGATTTTTATACAGTTAAGAATACTTTGTAGAATAAGAATTCCTAGAAAATTTTACTCTCTGGCTCCAAGAAGATCCTGAAATATGGCCATTTTACTTTTAAAAGATGTTGGTCAGTCCCCTCTTGTCCCCTTAAAATTGCAACGTTTATTTAGAGGTTTCAGAGTTACATAACTTTAACAATATTGGATCTTTTTTCTTGAAAATTCGTATCTGGCTATTTTCAGGGGTGGCATATCCAATAAAATGGTCAGAAATGTAAAAAAAAAATTTTAAGTAGGTTACCCATGTGGCCTTGATGATATAAAAAAATATATATTACACATTATTCTATATTCATTGATCTTTCAAAAAATATAAAGATTTTGATCTGCAAGTATATGGATTCATCAGTGGCGAAGTGGCCCCAGGAAGCTCTGAGAGAATTCCTGGTGGGCCGGTATGAATTTGGGCTGGTGGGCCAGCCTAAATCAGGTTGGTCAAATTTTTTTTCCTGAAAATTTATCTAATTAGAATACGAATATTTTCTCAGGTTTTATAAATTTTTAACCCGTTTCTATACTTTCTTTTTCTTTGATGTGGGCCAGACAAATGTAAAATTCCAGGGCTGATTTCAAGTCTCAGTCCGCCCCTGATTTTTATATATGGATAATGGGGCACGATCTCCACTTTTTTGTACCAGAATCTTATGATAGATTTTTCACTACTTTCCAGGCAAACTGGAGCTCTGAAAATTTCAGCATTTATTTAGTCCTGATGAGCATGTGTTAAATTTTTTTCTAGGGCAGATGTACAGAGGTTCCATAAGGTTGTAGTAAGCAACCGGGGTTGATATTTGACTGGGGCCTGGGCTGGAGCCTGGTTTGATAAAATATAGCAGGGGCCGGGTTTGTGACCAGGGTTGCATAAACATTTATATATCCTAAAGTATAATTTTTTAATTCAAAATTCATGTTATATTTTGTATATTTGAGCATATATATACATCATTATGATCAACATAATCATCATCATTATCACCATTAAACATTTATTTTTTCATTTTTTTTACAAGAACATCTCTTTTAAGAACCAATGTCCTTTTATTATTCCAAGTAGCCAATATAAAAAGATTCTGTTTGATGTTAAACTCTGATATTCTCAGTTTAATAAATATTGTATCTTATCTCAGATGTTAGGTTCTAGAGACTCTTGGTTATTCTTCAACAGTGTCATTAACTAAAGTAAGTCTAACACTTAATCTCTAATTCATGGGTCTGATATTTTTACTTCTCCCCAGAATATAGCAGAGTTATTTGCAAAGAAATCTTACTCTAATTTGAGTCTTGAATCTAATGGCCAAACTTTTCCTGCCAGTTAAACAGATTAACCCATTGTTAAACATCGAAATCACTCTGGCCTCCAATGCGTAAGTTAATTCTCAATTAAACACTTCTACAGTGTACACTTCCAGACAAGATTCCCATCATAGTCTCAAAAGAGTGTTCTCTAGAACTCTCTAAAATTTTTGCTAAATTTTTAAAAAGTGCCAAATAAGTGGTACCAATTTTTCAAAACTCTAGAAACCTCTTTGACCTCTCTCTAACTGTCTTCCAACCATTCTCTGTCCAACCGGTCTCTGAAAGTCTTCGCACTGTTATTAGTTTCTTTATATGATAGGTTTTGAGATTATTAAATTATTTCTTTCTAACTGCAGTATCAAAGTTATTCTTAAAGGCCTACACTCTTCTTTATTTCAAGTAACTTTAAGGGTACCATAAGGTTCTATCTTTGCTCTTGTATTGTTTCTTATCTACAATATCGATCTTCATAAAAATTTTGCATCTAAAGTGGCTCTATTTACTGACAACTCAACTTTATACTCTTGTCTTGACAAAAAATCTTTACTTTTTGATTGCTTAAAACAAGCAGCAGATTTTTAATCTAATCTCTCTTCTGTAACAGCTTGCAGCAGCTTATAAATTTATATTCTGGACTTAAAATGCACAGTTTTTGTTAAACAACAAAACTCATTTATTTACTGCAAAAAAATATTGCAATAATATTGGCATTCCTATATTGATGAATAACAACCCTCTTAGTCTCTGAAAAAGTCTGAGAGTAAGAGGGTTGTTTAAAAGCACATTGTAAATTTTTTAAAAGCAATTGTAGATGTAATTAGACCTACTTTATCTGCAAAACTTGAGCCATTCTCCCATTTTTGTAAGGTTGCGTATTTTTCTTTTTTCTACAAATACTATCATGGTCAATGCTCAAATAAGCTATCATTTCTATAACAATAAACCAAAACTCGTTCTTGCTTGGCTTTTTATTAAACAAGTTGCATTCTTTTACTGTATCTGTCCCTTCATGCTACAAAAACTTTTATTAATTCAGTGTTTTTCCTTGTACATCAAAATAACTTTATAACTTTTACCCATCTTCATGTTTTCCTTATTTATACAACCGATAACTTTTTAAGTCTTCATTTAACCCTTTCCTAGTATTTTAACTTATTCTTTATTTTAAAGTAAAAAGTCTCATTTTTAGACGGGGATGGGGCCAGGGCCAGGGTCCCAGTCACTTACTATAAGGCTCGGGCATTGGGAGCCATGACCCACTTTTAAAAAATTTTTTTTGTTTTTTTTTTTGCATTTTCAATAAAGTAAAGATAACTTTGAAAATATTGTCTTTAAAAAATTTATCAGAGTTAATAAACAAGTTAACAGCTCATTCCTACATTGCAAAATGTCAAGCAAGATACCTAAGGAAAAAAAAAGGAAAAGTTGGCAAAAGACTGTATTGTCTTAAGTGATTTTGTAGAAAACTACATGTTAATGATTCAAGATGAAATCTTAAGTTACCATTGGTGCCAAAGTTAATGCACGTTACACCCTGTTGTCCATTACTTATTATATAACAAAAAATGAGCAGATTAAAGAAAAATTGTTTTGCTTCATGTCAGAAGATAACAAGCATGACAATAGTTTTGTGTATGAAGTTCAGACACAAATAGTTAATTATTTAGAAGAAAATCATCCTAATATTTCAAAGATTCTTTATTTTTTAGATGGTTGTGCTGCACAGTATAAAAATCACAAAAAATTTTACAATATCTGTCTACATAAAGTTAATTTTGACGTTGATGCAGAGTGAATATTTTTAGCTACAAGTCATGGTAAGTCACCTTGTGATGGTATTGGTGGCACTGTAAAATGATTAAATGCAAATGCAAGTCTACAAAGGCCCATAAATGACCAGATATTAAATTGTAATAAAATGTTTGAATATTTTACTAATAACATTAAAGAGAATTTTTTTTTAAAGATTGAAAAAAAAAGACTGACAGAATTGTGCACTACTTAAAAAAACAATTTCAACTAGAACAATACAACAATTCCTGGAAGTAGGAGTTATCAATCAATTTAATCTACAGATGCAATTAGCTTTAAATGAACAAGTGGAGATTTTATAATAAAAGGGTTGTTTTCTTTTTCTGGCATTCAAAGTATTCAACCTAATTAGCAAATTAACATCAATACATTGAAATTTGGTGAATTGATTCTGTGTAAATATGATGGTTCCCTCCGGTCGCCCTCCCTCAAATTAATTTTAACATGCATTTATCAAGACTAAACAAATGTTAAAAGTTTTAGAGCTCCAGTTTATCTGGAAGGTAGTAAAAATCACAAGATTCCTCTACAATAAAAGTAAGGCACTTGCCCTTGTCCTCCCCCCCCCCCCTAATGTCTAAGGGCCCTGAAAATAATTTTCACATGCACATTCATTGGCACTACAGAAATTCCAAAATTTTTAGAGCTCCAGCTAATCTGGAAGGTAGTGAAAAATCAATTACAATATTCGACTATGAAAAAGTAGGGAGCATGCCACGTTTTCCATATATGGAAATCCATATACTTGCAGATCAAAATCCTTATATTTTTTGAAAGATCAATTAATATAAAATGATGTATAATATATATTTTTTGATACCATTGAGGCCGCATAGTTTTTTTGAGCATTAAAAACAGGTATAGAAAACATTGGCTCAATTTATTTAAATTGGTAATTACAATAGTTTTTTACACTTTTGATGATTAATTCATTAGATTCGTGCCCAAAATAGCCAGTTACAATTTTTAAGTGAAAAGATCAATGTATGGTGACATGACCTGGATCATTTGACATGGAATTACCCAGTAGTCAGATGGTAGTGAATGATAAGTAGTAAAACTAGAAAATAGTGAGTAGTCAGATGATAGTGAATGATAAGTAGTAAAACTAGAAAATAGTGAGCAGTCAAATGTATAGTTATCAGTTAAACACTATTAATAATACTTTAAAACACCTTGATAATAAAACTTAACTTGTTACAGTATATTTACTCAAAAAGCTTCATTTGAGAATGTCTCTGAAAAAATCAGCTTTGAAGTTGAAGAAATGAGAATTGCAGTCTTAAAAAATGATGTTGGCAGAATAAAAGAATTGTTCAGCAATGGTTAATAGTTTTTTATCTTTTATAACTTATTTTTTATTTGTTTTTTAAATAAATGTTTATATCTATTTGCTTACTTTTTATAAATACTCTAAAGTTATTAATATTTTAAGAATTTATTTATTAGACCCTGAAGCATGTAGTAAGCGACCGTGTTGAATCATGTTGATTTTAGTTGACTTAAGTCACCTAACTTACTTTTAGAAAGAATTAATTTTTAAAGAAAGAATTAATGTTTAAATCTCATTATTTAAATTAATCTTTCAAGTATTTTTTTTTTATTGTTTTTTAACTCTAAATTTAATTAAATGGAAAAGGTTTAAATTTTTTTTAATTGTCTTGGTTCTCAGCCAGATTTCTAACCGCTCTGCAACAGTTGGTTTTTTTGATTGAATCTTTTTCAAATTGATTCTAATTAAAAAAAAAAAATCAAATTCTAAATTAAATCTATATTCGAAATAATTAGGTTAACCAATGTTTGTTTTTTTTTAATAAAAAAAGTCCATTGGTTTACCTGTTTTGCAGTGGTTCACTGTAATTTAAGGCTTTCTGTATATACAGAGTCCTCCTATTTTTTTAAAAGAGTATGTAAAAATTTTATTTATAATTATCTTCTTCACTGTAATTTTTTGTGTTATAAAAGGGCGTTGATCACCTAAGTAAAAATCCATAAAATAAGTTTTGTGTGTTTTTAAAAGTATTTGCATATTATATTTTTTCAGGTTTTAAAGTTGATAAATTGTTGCCAAGTGGATGGTCTGTTCTTATGTATGCAGCAAATTATGGTTCAATTGAGGCAGTTAAAATACTTCTTGAAGAGAAATCGAATGTAAACTTTGATTGCGGTAATTTTTATTTTTATTTTTTATAACTATTAAATAGAAAAATACTTTTTTTGCCAGGGGTAAAAAAACATTTTTTTTTATTCCTAAGAAGTTTTAGCCAAAAACCAAGTTGCTTAAACATTTTTAAGTTCTTCAATTTATTGAACTTTTAATTGTAGAGTTTATTTATAATTATTTATTTGTATTTAGTATCTAGGGTGACAAGACCTGACAACAATCCATTTTAACTGCAATATGGCCTTATGTTACCAACTGTAACATAGCAAATTAAGTTTGTAGATAATGTTGTTTGTTTTGTCAACTTATATTGTTAAAGCGTTTATCATTAATTTATATATTAATTAATTACAAAAATACAAAAATTTTATATTTTATAAGGCTGAATGGCATTTCTCTTGAACTGAATGGACAGATGGATGGATAGACAGATTTAAGGCTTTTAAAACTTGTATCCTTTTTCTGCATGAAAAGTTATGGCATTAAGACAAATTTTATGGCATAATAATAAAAATTATGATAAATATCATTTTTTCTGTTTATTGTTTTTTTGAAAAACAATTTTTAAATAAAAAGTTTTTTTTTTGTTGGTTTTTTATTTAGTATACAAAATATAAGAAGCTGTAAACATTTTTACTTAATTGTACAATATAACAAAGTTTAGAAAGTTAAATTATTGTTGGTTAGACATTTTATGAAACTATTTAGTTAAAAAAGTCTCAAAAAAGCACTCTCAGACTTGGTCTGGTAGCATCAGATGTTTATGACTTGTAGTTCTTATCTACTTCATTTGTTTTTTATACATTTAAGAATCAAGCTTGAACCTTGATGATTATCTGCTTTTTCACCTTGCTGAGTGAGAAAATATCAATTTTAATGGCAGCTCCAGATTGGGAAAAATAAGTTTTCTATCATGGTGATAGAAAGTTTAAATTTATTTAAATAAACCTAGCTAATAGCATGTAATGTGCAGTAGTAAGAAGATGTTATACAGGACTTTTATGTAAGTTTTACATATGGTTTGTTTAATTGTGAATTTCTATGTTGAAGTTTTCTAATAAATTTAAAATCTGTTAGAGCAGATCATGATTAAGTCTTCCCGGAAAGGTCGCACGGTGTCGCACGTTTTGATTGTCCACATTTAAAGTCATTTTTTTAGACACACTGACCGCGGCAGATCTTTTTTTCTTATAAAGCGTTTCAATAATTTGCGGCATTTAAAAGAGCTAAACTACTGAGAGAAAAAAAAAAATCCTACAAAAAGGAGACAAAATTATAGTGATTTATCAAGTTTTAATAAAATAAACTAGAAAATTTAATGATTAAAAAAAGAAAATTGAAAAAAATTTTTTTTAATAAAATTTTTATACAACTTTTGTATTCTTTTTTTTTGAGAGAAGTTAAAAAAGTTTTTTTTTTTTGAGAGAAGTTAATGTTTTTAGCTACCGAATTTGATACAAATTGATAAAAATTCAATAACAAATGATATGATATTTATTCACGATATTTATCAGTTCGTATAATTAAGTAACTAATTTGCTATATACGTTAGAACTATGAGAAATTTTGTTAATTTTTTTTCTTACTTTTATTTGTTTTGTATGTCTTTTAGTTTTTAAAAATGTTTTTGCTATATTTGACGTTTTTTTCTCAATACTTATATAATAGGAAAATAAGAAAATAAATTGCTATATATTTGTAAAGTATATAATTTAATTAATAAATTTTGTAACAACGAAATAAATTAAATTAAAAAATAACATGGTTTCTTTTATAAATATATTTTGATGTCTGAAATTGCTTATTTTATATACTATATGCTACATTATTATTGGAAGTATGTTTGTAACTAAAATAGAAAAGTAAATCAAATTATTTTATTTCTGCTCTGCTATTGATAGTTAAGGTAATTATATGTTATTTAACTATTAACTTTAACTAATTTAAAAAATTAAATTAAAATTATCCAATATTTTTGTTAACTACATTTTTATCAACCAGTTCTTAGAATACAATTATTTGTTTTGAAAAAATTACATCAGAAAATAAAAAAAATTGATCCAGCCTATTTTTGTTGGGAGATTGGTATATTGGGGAGGTTCATATATTATGGAAATATATTAACTTTTAGTTGTTGTTTGCAAATATTTTCATAAATTATTTTGTTTTACTACATTGTTTTGATATATATATATAAAAAAAACAAGTTACTAATTAGTATCTAGTTACCATCTTTACTATTTACCGTATAGATAGTAAAAACACTTTATGGTTTTCTATTACTTTACTGAAACTCATAACAATAAAAAAATGTTTTTTTTGTTTGTTTGTTTTTTGTTTGTTTTTTTTTTAATATGATACATTATTTATTTTTAAAAATTAGGTTATTCCAATGGAAGAGTTTAATATTTTTTTTGATCAAATAATAAATTCTTCCATGTACCTATTTTTTGTGTAAAACAGAGTTAATGAATATATTGCATTACCAATAATATATCTTACTTTAGTTACTTCAAAACTTTAGTTCAAACTCAGTATAGACAGTTACCTATTTCCAGACAGTCACCTATTTCCATAGTTTCCTTTTTTTTTTATTCCCGTATAACATTTATCTTGTTTCTTATGATGCGTACTTCTCTTATAATTTTTATTAATTTTTGTCGCACAGTTTTTCAGTTACCAGGAGTTATCCATCTAGTTATCAAGTTATTTAATAACTTAGTCAGAGTTGCTAAGACCAAAATCATCTAACTCTAATGTATGAGATTCTTAGATAATACAAGTCTTGAAGGATACGAGCCTTAAATAAATCTATCCATCTTTCCATCCAGTTAGAGAGTTGTCATGAGCAATGCCATTCAGCTTTATAAAATAAAATTTTTGTACTTTTGTAATAAATTAATATATTAGTTTTTTCAATTGTAATCATTTTTTTTTTTAAACCTTATATATTGATTTTTATAATCATAGAAACATTGTTCATAAAGTGTTTATTATATAAAAATAGAAAAAAGTTATTCTCAGCAAATTAAATGAAAAAACCTATTTTTCAAAAAAAGGGAATTTTTATTAAAAAATGGGTTTTTATTTTTTTAGATATGTTTACACCTTTAATGGCTGCATGCTACTCTACGAAAGCTACTGAAGAAAAGCTGCTAGGATGTGTAGAAGCTTTAGTTCATGCAAATGCTCATATAGACTCTCATGACAGGTAGTTTTTCAAAATTAAGTAAAATCATTTTAAGTTACAGTAGAGCTGTTACTGTATAATTGTTAAACAAATTTAATAATACTATTGTTAAAGTTAACATTATAATTTCTTGCTATTTTATATATAGTTATTGTGTTGAAATTTAAGCTAACAGTTTACTCAAAATGTTACTTGGGCACTGCTCTAAAGAGCTAGCGTCTCTTGTGCCATCTACAAAAATTCATTCTTGTTTTACTCGTCATTCAATTAAGTCTCATCCTTTTTCTGTTACTGTTCCTAAGTGCTCCAAAAACTCTAATTCGTCTAGTTTTTTTCTTTGAACATCAGTTTTTTGGAATTCACTTCCTTCATCTTGCTTTCCTGATTCATATAATTTGCAATCTTTTAAGTCGTCTTTCAATCGTTATCTTGCTCTACAATCTTCATCTTTTCTCTTCCAGTAACTTCCAACACTAATTTGTGGTTGCTTGCAGCCTTGTTGGAAGCGAAGATGTTAAAAAAAAACAAAAAAAAAACAGATTACTTAAGATAACAGAATACTTAAGATAACAAATATACATATATTGTATATATTTAAATATATGTGCACTGCTCTAAAAAGCTAGCACCTCTTTTGCCATCTACTAAAATTCATTCTCATGTTACTCGTCGTGCAATTCAATTCTAGAAATTCTTATTTGTTTAGTTTTTTTCCTCAAACATCAGTCCTTTTGAATTTACTTCCTTCATCTTGTTTTCCTGATTCATCTAATTTGCAATCTTTTAACTTCTAACTCTAATAGTGGTTGCTTGTAGCCTTGTTGGAAATGAAGATGTTGAAAAAAATAAATGTATACATTTATGTATTGTATACATGTATATGAGTATTATTATTATGCTACCCATAACTTGTAGTATGTTTAAATAAACTAAATAAAAATTACTTACATTTTAAGAAAATATTATTATGTATATGAAAAAATTTATGTTTAAAAACATTTAGGTTAATGCGAAATAACAAAACCAAACAGCCTTTTTTATTTTATTATTAACCAAAATATATAAAACAACAATTTTACAGAGGCAAAAAACTATTACTTTAAATAGCTTAATACAAATATAGATACAAAAAGTTGTAAAAGTTTCTTAAAAAAAAACAAAAAGCTTTTGATCTTTAGCAATATTTTTTCTTGAGCAATATTTTTTTTCTTTAGTATTATTTTTTCTCTTTAGTAATATTTTTTCTCTTTAGCAATTTTTTCTTTGTTTGGATTTGTTTAAAAAGTTTTGTGTCAAAAGAGGCACAAATGAACATTTGTTTCGACAAAAATATTGTAGATAACTTAAGCTTAATACTGTAATCTCACTTAATTCTCCAAATCTTTCATAATTCAATCATTAAAATTACTAGTTTCCATTGAAATAAGCTCTACATAATTAAAATATTAGTATAGAGGAACTGGAGCTATAAATTTTTATGGCTCCTGTTCTAGCTCCGGGTCCTCTAAAATTGATTAATTTAGCTTTGTTTCTAGCTCCACTCCAGGTAAAAGGCTCGGCTCCATGCACTGTGCTTTGGATTTTTCTCCACTGTTGGTTTCCTTACAGTGTCTTTTGTTGAACCATAAATTTACTTGACTTTTCTTGAAAAAAACTCTTTAGTAAGAACAAGTTGTAAAACAAAAGTAATTATGTGATAGATTTAAAAAAGTATTTAATTATTTTATTAAGATTAACTGTATAGCATCAAACTTAAAATTTTTATATTGTAGCTATAACTATACAAATTATTTTTGAAAATTTGTCTAAAAAAAACTTATTCTTAAGGTAAGTTAACTTTTTATTTTTCACTTTAAACTTAAATTTTAGTGACTAACTGTTGTGAGAGTTGCTAAGTTACATCAGTAACACCTGTTATATAAAATATCATATTGATTTATTTTTTATCTTTTTTATAATTTTACTTTTTTATTTGCTTTATTTTCTTTTCTTTTTTTCTTTTTTTTTTAATACAATTTTTTTAAGTTTTGTTTTTTTTTTCAGCAAAAAAATATTATTGTTGAGTCATCTTGACATACATATTTAAACTTTCCTTTAGGTATCTAATGACTGCCTTAATGTATGCATCAAAACAAGGTTATTCTAAAATTGTTGATTTTCTTTGCAAAAGTGGAGCTAGTGTTAATTATCAAGACACAAGAGGATGGACGGTAAATTTACAAAATTATCATTTTTTGTTGCCAAACTTTAAGGTTAAAAGACAAAAATTGTCTTTTAACTTTAGAGTTAAAAGACAATTTTTGTTAAAAATCTGTTGACATTAAAAAACAGTAAAAAAATCAAGAACAGTAAAAAATGTTTTTTTTATAAAAGGTCGATTTTGTACTTTTTTAAAAAGTTTTACTTGCTGTGCTCTCAGGTAGTTATAAAATCGTGTCAGAAAATTCAAACCAACATCCTTTTTTTTTTCTACTTAATTCAAATTTTTTGAAAACGATTAGAAAAATGTAGTACAAACGTCAGTTTAGATGAAAATTTATATAACAATTTAAAGATGCAATTGGGAAAAGAGTGATCTTATAACTTCCCAGTTTTTTTATGAGAACCAATTTTTTTTTGGCCTCTTTCCTTATTTAAAATAGAAATGTTTCTGTTACTAGCAAATCACAAATATTTACATTTTTTTTTTTTTTCAATTATTCACCTCCCCAAGGCCCAAGGGGGCCACTACAGTCAAGGAGGGTACTCTTTTTTTTTTTCTGTTTGTTGTAAATCGTGGTACAATTACTACTAAAGTTACACTTAAAAACAGCAAAAAATACCTTGTAACACACGATTCAAAAAACACCTCGTAACACACGAGTCAAAAAGCAAAATTTCATCCCCAACAGTTAAGCATAAAACATTAAAGATTTTCTGGACAAAGTTAGATTGATAGCTTAATCAAAACTATTACCCTTTTCTCATTTTTCTTTTAAACTTAATATTATAAAAATAAAGCACACATTACATCATTAACAACCAGTAGGACGATGGTTTGCAAAAAAGTTCGCATTTTACCAGTTCGCAGTTCGCATTTTTCCTAGTACCGTCGACCAATAGTAGGAGAAAAAGGGAAGCAAAATTTCATCCCCAACAGTTAAGCATAAAACATTAAAGATTTTCTGGACAAAGTTAGATTGATAGCTTAATCAAAACTATTACCCTTTTCTCATTTTTCTTTTAAACTTAATATTATAAAAATAAAGCACACAGTGCATATAATTTTTTATCTAAATTTAACTCACAACACCCAATTATACTCAATATATTCCGATAAAAAAATTTTAGGCTAATAAAACTATTTAGTTTTCAAAATACTTTCAGCTTCATTGGTGCAAAGGTCCTGCAGCCCACTTCTGCCTTATATTCCTCCTAGATATGATCTAACAATAGTGCCAAATATTACTGAAAAAATTAATAAATTTTTATGAAAAATTTATTCTTGGTTTGGGTAAATTAAAAGACTTAAAACTTAATATAACAAGTTTGTACTTTTTAATTATTAATATTAAATGTTTTTATAATACCATGTTTTATAAAATAGGAGATCAAAGATGAAAGTTTAATACAAAAGGAAAAAATCAGTTAGGACCAATAGATTGGTGTGCTGTAAAAAAATAAAAATAAAATAGCAAAGTGTCAAAAATACGTCTTTTTTTGAAAAGTTAAAAACAATTTATGCATCATAATCTATTTTAGACTTTCTCCTTGTCATCCGACTTTTTTGTTTTCCTAATGCTAAACCTTTTTCTGTAATAATGTATAAAAAGCTTTTTTTGAAACTTCAGAAATGAGCTTTACAGCACGCTCAACAGACTGACTGTGTAATAGAAAGTCCCAGCCAAGCACAATAGGTTCTGGTTTATATTCAATCAAATTACGAAGTTCCTGATGAGATAAGCTCTCAATAACAGGAGGCTCATAGATTAGTTGATAATCAGAAACCAGCTCCACGAATCACTTATTTAATCATGCTTATTTACTAAAATTGTGCTTATCGGAACTTATACAACACACATATACTTGAACAATAACCTTTGATCAGAACTTAAGTCATTAAGTTTATTATGATGATCTTGTGGTTTTCCAATTTCACCATAAAATTTTGTACTGCCATCAATGTTTTATAATATGGTACAAAGGTAACTCATATTTGTATATTCATATATAAATCTAAGATACCTTTGCCTTTTTATAAAGAGTTATCTTTTTATAACATGAGTATATTTTTTTTTCATATACTCATATTTAATGCAGATAATTGTAAAAATTTGACGTCTCAGTTGCAATTATCTGCAATAAAAATTTAATGCAGATAATTGTAACTGAGATGTTACATATTACTCTATCATCATGGCTGGAAACTTCTTCTAAATTACATCTGCAGGCAGATATATTATAAACGTTTTTCAATACACTATATGCTGAAATTTGAGGTCCTTTTTTACACTTTTTTCCAATAATAAGTTTCGTTATGTTTTGACCAGTTTTAAATAAATTGACCCATTTTTTATCTAGGGCAATTTTAATTTACATTTCACCAAATTTTTAAAATATCAGATTTGTTTTTCAATTCGGATTGCACAAAATAAAAGTATCTATAAACGTCCCCATATATTGGTAAAACTCTAGCAGGAATAATCTATTTTGAGCCTCCAATGAGTTTTTTTGTAGTTTTTGGAACCATTTGTACTAGGGATGTATCGGAATTCTGGCCGGATTTTCTTTCTTTTAGATCAATTCGCTTCTGGATGTAATTAAACTTTTTATTTTACTTTTTTTTTATGACATGTGACACAGGTTGTGTAAATAAATCAAAAAATCATTATCCTACAGAGTAATGAAGAACTATAGGTAAATCTAGGTAAAAATAACAAATGTAAGTTTATTTTCAGAAATATTAGTACTGCAAATACTTTTGCAAAAATTACATTTGTATTTTTTACCTCATTTTATCTATAGCTCTTTATTGTTCTGTAGGATAATGATTTTTTGATTTATTTACACAGATTTATGTCACAAGATAAAAAAAAAAAGAAAAATTTAAAAAAAATAAAGTTTGTAAGCAAGATAACAATTGACAGACGGCCTAAAAGATTGCAAATTATATGAATCAGGAATGTAAGATGGATGCAAATTCCAAAGAACTGATGTTTGAGGAAAAAAACTAGACAAATAAGAGTTTTTGGAACACTTAGGAACATTCACAGAAAAAGGATGAGACTTTATTGAATGACAAGTAACACAAGAATGAATTTTAGTTGATAGCACAAGAGATGCTAGCTCTTTAGAGTAGTGCCTATTATAATATTTGTAGAAAAGAGAAAGAGAAGATTATGACAATGTGATTATAGTTGGAGGTTGGCTACAAAAGCATGTGCAACTATGTTTACAATCCATTTCCGGATTGTAAACATAGTTGCCGGCATCATTAGAAGATCTGCCCCAGATATGACAACAGTATTCCATACAAAGGCGGATGAGATTTACAGAGATAAAAAATTGAAATCGGAGTAAAAAAATGTCAAGCTCGATAAAGAGATGCAACCTTAGCAGATGTTAATTTTGCAATGGATTTGATATACCGTTTCCAAGAAAGATCAGAGGTAAGAGTTTATCCTAGAAGATGAAAGATAGATGACTCATTAAGTACATTACCACTCATAAATATAGGAAGATCTAAATTACTGAGATAATGATTGGCTAAAAAATTGAGTTTTATCTGAATTAAAGTTCACTAGCCACTGTGAGCACCATGCTGTAGCAGAAGTGAGATCCTTTTCAAGCACAGATGCCCCCTCCTAGCAATTAAAGAGTGTTGGCTTCTTATCATGACAAGAATAAATGGTAGTGTCATCTCCGAACAATGCCACCTTGATGTGAGAATATCTGGAAAATCATTAATGTAAATTAAAATGAGTATATGGCCAAGGATTGAACCTTGAGGAATCCCTGAAGTTACAGAATAGGAAGAAGAGTGCTGTCCACCAAGGACAACTTTTATACTATGATTGGAAAGGAAGGACTCAATAATCTTAAAGATGTTACCAGATACACCGTAAGAAGAAAGCTTATGTATAATAAGTATAGACCAGCATGCCAAACGTTATCAAAAGTTTTAGAAATATCAAGAGCAATAACTTAACCTCTTTACATCTTAAGACTCAAAAACCTTGCTTATGATAGGAAGAAGACTAATGGGACGGTAGTTATACGAATCAGATCGCTCTCCAGAATTTTTGAAAATAGAGATAACCAGGGATGCGGAGTCCTGAAAGGACTCCAGCTTTATCACTTTATTTTTTTATGGTCTCTGGTGTCCAGAAGCTCTAAACATGTTGGTTGATTAATGATCTGTTATAAAAAAAAATTTATAATATTTAATGATTTGGAACTTATTGTTTTTAAGCCCGGAGTCCTGGAGTCCTTGCCGCCATTATACTAAAGGACTTCGTTTCAAAAACTTATTGTTCTTCTGACCTATAAGTCTTGATTTTTTCCCCATTAGTAGCCCATAAGCGTTTTTATATTTTTAAAATGTATTATAAATTCTTTTTTGGGACTCCGCATCCCTGGGGATAACAGATGCTGCTTTCCATCATGCTGGAAAACTTTGATAATCACTTGTTGAATAGTTTTTGAAAGTATAGATGACAGCTCCGGAGAACACTTCTGCAAGACTACAACAGGTATGTTGTCCAAGCCACAAGCTGTAGAAGATTCTAAGCAGGAAATCACTTTAGATACAGAAGCTAGAGTGATACGAATGTCATGCAATGGATCAACCTGTTTGATGGCTATATCAGGTAGAACGGCAACTAGTGGAATCAAGAGATGATATTGATGAAAAGTTCTTAGCAAACAATTCAGCTTTGTCTTTAGGTGAGGTGACAAAGTCAGAACCATACCAGAGAGGTGGAATAACAGATTAGCCCTTATTATTGATACTGTTAAAGATTCTCTAGAAGTCACGAGAGTCTACTTTTTGTGATGAAATATGAGATTTTAAGCCATGGAGAAGAGTGGGGCTTGACTTGGAATCGTCAAGAGGAAATAAAAAATTTGTTGGAAGTACATTTGTCAGATGAAAGTTTTCTACCCAAGGGCCATCACGAAGAAAATCATGGAAGGAGTCCTAGTCAGCTTTAAGGTAGTTGTAAGAGGTACA